ATAACAATGAAAGAATATTTTTCTTTTTTCAAAGAGAAAAGAACTGGCGGGAGGCGTGGACGGGGCGGGAGAAAGAAATAAATTTTTAAAAAATAAAAAAAAAACCCAAATAACTCATTGCTATCAAGTCGGAACAGACTCACAGTTGACCCTCCAGTGGGTTTTCAGAGGCTGAATCTCATGGGAGGAGACTGCTCACTGGTTGACTGGAACTACTCACTTTTTCCCCCCATGTGGTTGTTTAATTTTACTTTTTTCTCCTCTCCCAACCCTCCCCCACCCCCCAGTACACTACCCTCTTGGAAAAGTAAAAGAAAAATTCTTTCACTGTTTTACAATCCCTTCCCCAGGTCCACTCCACTATGCAGCCTTTGCTCTGGACTCCTGTCATGACAAAAATACCTAATCACAAATCCCTTTTAAACAGTTTTCTCCCTCATCTGTTTCAATGCAGTATACATTATTGAACCCATCTTTCTCAGTCTCCCCCCAACCCCGATGTCAGTCCTGTTTTACAACAGTGGCATCATGCAGTATTTGTCCTTTTGACTGAGATACTTCACTAAGCATAATGTCCTCCAGGGTCACCCATTTGGAATAACATCGCATGAGAACTACTCACTTTGGGGTTGATAGTACAGTTCCCTGGTGACTAGGTCACCGGAGCACACAATAAGCACTCATAAGTTATTAAACAAATTATACAGAATAACTCTATAAGGTAGGTGTTATTATCTCTAATTTCAAATAAGGAAACTGAGACTAGAAAGATACCTCTTTTCTAAGACCATAAAACTAATATTAAAGAAAAAACGAATATGATATCCAGAGAAGCTCGAAGAAGGGACAACACTTAATTACCACACAGAGAGGGGCTCTTGGGAGCAGCAGAAGGTGACCTTGAACCAGTGACACCCCTTCATTTCTATGACTTATGCATTCTGGAAATGCTGCCAATTTCCAATTCACTTTGCTCCAATTTTCAATGAAAAGTCTGTGAATACTGTGAATGTGTATTGACAACAAAAAGAGTCTGGGTAATTTTTCTTTTTGGAAAGGAGGCTATTACTTGACATATTTCAACAACACAACATAGAATATAATTTGTAACAAAGCTCTTTCATTGCGAGACCTGTTTCTCAGAGTCGTTTCACCGTTCACCATAGTGGGAGTGCATCTGCCATCACTAATCAGAGTGGCGGTGACGGCAACACCCAGGTTAGCACAGAGACACACAGCACAAGGAGCAGTGTGGCTTCACTGTCGAGCTCTGGAATCACCTCTTCTTTTTCTATTTCTGCAGGGGCCACCCTTATCCAGACCTCTGTCATTTCTTATCTAGACCCATGGCAACTCCAGACAACTGTTCTTTTTCCTCCTCTTCTCCTCCAGTCTCCTTTCCCCAAAGCATCCCGAGTGATCTTTGAAACGTGTGAATGGGTCATGCCTTTCCTGTGCACAAAGTCCTCCCTAACCCAGCCCCTGAGGCTGCTCAGAACCTGCCCCCCTGCCT